ATGAAAGTGTTATCAAATGTCACTGGTTTAATCACTGCGTATAGCACAAATGGGAATCTTTGAAGGGATTCTGTAGAAAAGACAAGCCAGAGCTATACATATTTTTAAGTTATATTTATAAAGAACTACACAGCATACTATTTATTCCTTTTTAAACACAAAAGCAAAACCTAGGAGCCCACGTTCTGCTATATTTTCCCTAAGAGGGGTTAACAAAAGGACTGAATTGACCTTACTCTTCAGGTTGGACTATTGCCTGAATATAAAGAGCAGCTAATTTCATTCAGGCCCACAGGTGACCTACTGTACCTGTAGTGTCAGGAGGGTTATGTGTGTCTCATCTTACTATTGCTCAGTTAAATCTCACACTGTCCATATTCTTTGCCATATTACTTTACAGTTTGAGTGGTCTTTAGAAAAAAGTCCATTCTGTTTTGGTTATTAGTTTATTTTGTTGTTTGTTTGTTTGTTTGTTTGAGACAGTTGAGATTGACCTGGAACTCACTATGTAATTCAGGCTGGTCTCAAACTCACAGCGATCCTCCTGCCTCAGCCTCCTGAGTGCCGGGATTACTCCTAAAAGATTTTTTAATCTTAAAAAATATTCAGTTTGGGGGCTGGGGATTTAGTTCAGTGGCATAGTGTCTGCCTTGCAAATGCAAGGTCCTGAGTCAGATCCCCAGTACCAAAAAAAAAAGTTCAACTTGAAAATCCTTAAGCATATAGAAGAATAGCATAAGTGTTATAATCAACAACTTCTGAAGACAGAGTCTCGCTGTGTAGTTCAGGCTGGCCCTGAGCTTACTATATAGCCCAAGCTGGCCTCAAACTCACATCAGTCCGAGAGCTTGGACTACAGACATGTGCCATCCTGCCTGGCCTATAAATACCATTTTGGTTTCTTTGTTTGTTTTTCCAGTACTGGGGATTGAACTCAGCACCTTGCACAGGACAGATAGGCACAGTACCACTGAGCTATATCCCACACTAAATACCATTTTGAGTCAGCAGAAAACTTTGCTTTATTTGTTTTTGTTTTGGTTTGGTTTTTGGGTTTTTGAGACAGGGTCTCACTATGTAGTTGAGACTAACCTGGAACTCACTATGTAGCCCAGTCTGGTCTCAACTCACAGTGATCCTCCTGCCTCAGTCTCCTGAGTGCTGGGATTTTAGGCGTGCATCACCACACCTGGCTCTACTTTGCCTTATTTGTTACACTGATATATAAGCTTTTTTTTTTTTTAAATAAACCACTTCATAGTAAGTTTTAGACTTCACTTCTCAATACTTGAGATTGCTGTGGTGAATAAACTGTAATCACGTTTCTACAGTCCTAGCTTCTTGGATGGCTGAGGCAGGAGAATCCCTTGAGGCTAGGGTTTGGCGACCAGCCTATGCAACAGGCTAAACCTTATATCTTTAAAAAAAAAAAAAATCCTGTGGTTGGGCAGAAGCTACCCCTTTGCTAGAGATATCACACTGTAAACCTCAGAACCTATGGGTCTGTTCTGTTTTGCGGTGTGACAAAAGAGAATTAAGATGGAAATTAAGATAGAAGGAATTTCCAACCCATGGGCCTTAAAGTATGAAGTTATTCTAGATTTTCCATATGGGCCTGGTGTATTCACCACAGTAGTCCATAAAGTGCTAAAAGGAAGGTAGCAGGCAGTAAGATGGCAAGAAGAAGGCCAGGCATTGATGGCTTTAAAGGTGGAGGAAGTGGACATGATACCAGGAAAGCAGGTGATCTCTAGCTGGAAAAAGCAGGAAAATGGATTCTCCTTTAGATTCTGGAAGAAATATAGGAATCCTGACAGTGTGTTGAATTAGCCTAATGAGAGACCTATTTTGGACTTGTGAATTCTGTACTGGAAGATAAGTTGTTGTTGTTTGAGTGTTTTTTTTTTTTTTATTTTTTTTTGGTATCAAATTGCACTTAGGACCTTGTGTTGAGTGGGCACCACTGAGCTAAATGCCCGGCCCCCTTGATTTTGTTTTTGAGATGGGGTCTTGTTATGTAGTTCTTGCTTGTCTTGAATTCAGCTGTGAAGCTCAGGCTGGCATTGAATTTGTGGTGATCTTTCTGCCTCAGCCTCAAGTGCTGGGATAACAGGCGTATGCCACCACACCCAGCCTCTGGAACCAGTTTTAATTTTAGTCATGCCTTCATATGTTCATTTAAAGTTGTGATCTTACTGTGTTGACCAGCCTGGATTTCTGAGCTCACGTGATCCTCCTGTCTCAACCTTTCAAATGCTAGGCCTGGCTTGTACTTCTTTGTAAACCCAGATGCAGTTAGAAATCATACATTTGATTTTGTTAGATCTGTAAAGCTCTCTTAACCTAGAATGGTCTATATGCCCCCCCCTTCCATAACAACATTTTGAGACCAAGGTCATTGATGTAAAATATGCAGTATTCTTTGATTATAGATTTGTTAATTGGGATTTTTTATTTGTCTTTGATTTCTTTGTTTTTGAGACAGGGTCTGGCTGATCCTCCTGCCTCAGTCTCCAAGTGCGGGGGTTATAGGTGTGTTGTGCCACTGTCATTGTTTTTCTGTTGTATCATTTAACTTTTTCTCTAATTATCTGTATTTCCCATAAACTAGATTTTAATATAAAGGTTGTTTTAGGCAAAAATATTTCCTGGTAGATGCTGTATACTTCATACTACATAACATCAAGAGGCACATGGATCTGGTATCTCACTGTTTGCAGTACCAAGTTTAATCCCTAGAGTAAGATAACAGCAAGATCTTTTTGTTGTCAATCCTTTGCAGTTACTATTTTATAGAGTAATTTTTTAAAGTTGTGTTTCCTACTTTTTTGAAAAATATTGAACTGATTATTAATAGAAATTTTAAATTTCCAGACCAGCAATTTTTACACCGGCAATACGACATACCATATAGCCTTAAATATAAAAGCCCTTCTGCTGTTCTGTTTCAAAACACCTACTAGTGGGCCAGGGATTTAGCTCAGTGGTTCTGCTGCCTGCCTCACAAGCACAAGGTGCCAAGTTCGATCCTGGGTACCAAAAAAAAAAAAAAAGAATGGCATGATCAAAACACCTACTAGTAGCTGTTCATGGTGGCACATGCCTATAGTCCTGGAGGCTGAGGCAGGAGGACTGCCACAGATTTGAGGCCAGCCTGGACTGGGATCACAGGTATATGACACCAGTGAGACCCTGTCTGAAAACATTAAAAAAAAAAAAAAAGTATGGCTAAATTAATCCTGATTTGGCCTTGAATTTAGGATCCTCATGCCTCAGCCTCCATAGTTGTTGAGATTACAGACATGTATCACAACCCCAGCAACAGACTCCCTTTTAAATACATAACCAGCTGTGTCCGAAAGATAGAAATTCTCAGGGATGGTGAATGAAAAAAGAGCCAGGGATGTAGCTCAGAGTCACTGCACCTGCTTGGTAAGTGTAAGGTCCCAAGTCTGATCCCTGGTACAGGGAAAAAGAAAAGAAAAAGGAACCGAAAATGATCACTGTGCCTGTGGTTTAATACTTATGGGAATTCTGAGCGCTTTGTGGGTCTCAATAACCTGATGGTTTAGTTTTAATGCTCACAAGGGGTTCCAGAGACAAAATTTTCAGACCAAGGCTGGGCATGGTGTCGCACGCCTGTAATCTCAGCACTTGGGAGGCTTAGGCAGGAGGATCGATGTGAGTTCAAGACCAGCCTGGGCTACATAGTGACTTCCGGGTCAGTCTCAACTACATAGTGAGACCCTGTCTCAAAAAAACAACAAAATAACAAACAAAAAATTTTTCGGACTACATGAAGCAGGAGAATTCCCATAGAAAGCTATTAAATCTTAAAGTCTCATAAGGAAAAGGTGAGACAAAAAATTTCATCTACTAGTTCAATTAAACAAGGGAACTTTGCTTAGTCTGGGTTCTGGCTAGATGTAGATGGGAGGATCCTCTGAAAATTTAAGTATGGTTCAAGAATACACAATGGTGACAGGATAATCCTTTCTGTTTAACAAATGATATTGGAAGAACTGAATATCCACAGGCAAAAGAATGAAATTGGAACCTTACTGTAGGCCACACATAAAACTCAACTTAAAATGGATTAAAGCCACTTAAACAGGAAGACTCTTGGAAAATAAAAAACATAAGGAGAAAGCTTTGTAGCATTGCTCTTGGCTGTGATTTCATGAGTAGACCCCAAAAGCACAGGCTGCAAAAAAATAAATAAATGGGGACCTGACAGCCTTCTGCACAACAAAGGAGACAATCAGCGCAGTATCAAGGCGGCCTGGGGAATAGGAGAAAATATTTTTGTGCTGTATATTTGCTAAGAGGTTAAAGTCCAATATATAGCATAAGGAAATCATTCTACTCGATGACAAAAGAACAAGTAACCTGGCTTTTAAAATGGACAAACACTGGGCCTGGTGGCATATACCTGTAATCCTTGCACTTGGGAGTCTGAGGCAGGCAGGGTATTATGAATTTGAGGCTGGCCTGAGCTACATAGTGAGATCCTGGTGGGGGTTTTGGTTTGTTTGTTTATTTTTGTTTTTAAGGGCAAAGAGTCTAAATAGAGATTTTCTCTGAAGAAAAAACTCAGATGGACAACAGATACGTGAAAGGGTGCTAGGCATTATTAATCATCAAATCTACCATGGAAAGCTGGGTGTGGTGGTACATGCCTATAACCCCAGAACTGAAAACAAATGAAGCAAAGAGGATTGCAAATTCAAGCCATTTACCCAGAGCCTATCTCAAAGTAAACATTTTATAAATGGGGTTAGGAATGTAGTTCAGTAGTAAGAACATTCTTGCCTTCAATCCTCAGTACTGCAAAAACAAAAACTTATAGTAAAATGTCATCCCATACCTGTCAGGATAGTTGTGGCAAAAAAAAAGGTTGGCAAGAATTTGGAGAAATTGGAACCTTTGTGTTATATTGGTGTGTTGAGAAATAAAAATTTTAAAAAATTTTAGGAGTTGGAGATGGAGCCGAATGGTACAGTTTGAGAAGCCCTGGATTTGATCCTTAGCATCACCAAGAAAGAAAACAACTTCAAGACTTTTTATACCATTACAGAAACTGGCAGAAGCAAATGAAAAACTACTCTACTCTGGAGGTTGTCAAGGTGGTACACTATTATAATCCTAGCCCTTCGGGGGACAGGGAGACTGAGGCAGAAAGATTGCAAATTTGAGACCAACCCAAGATTTTGGTTGTTGATAGGGTCTCACTATGTAGTTCAGGCTGTCTTGAACTCACTGTGTAGCCCAGGTTGGCTTCAAACTTGCAGTGATCCTCCTGTCTCTGCCCCCACCCCCACCTCATGCTGGGATTACAGGGGTTCGCCACCATGCTTGGCATGCGTAGGCAGTTTACCAATTTACCTATTTCAAAATTTAAAAAAGGGGAGGCATGTGGAAATCATTCAGTGTAAAGGGCTGGGTTCAGTTCCTAGTACTGGAAATAACAAAAACATAATTGCTTCTGAGGAACAAGTCCACAAATTAAGCCACGTAGGATTTCTACAGATAAAATTCTACTGAAGAAAAGACTCAAAATCAAAAATGACAAAAAAAAACGTGAGAAGAGGGCCAGGGATTTAGCTCAGTGGTGCCACTGCCTGCCTCACAAATACAAGGTCCTGAGTTCTGATACCAAAAAATAAAACATGAGAAGAAAGTTTGTTTACTGTGAACAAGAGTATAATTACAATAAGCAACAGTAGTACTAAATCTCCCAAAACCTTAGATAATATATCTATTAACTATAGACATAAAATAAATGTATTTAAAAGTATTAAAATCAGGTATGGAAGGCACACTTTTGGGCTGGGGATTTAGCTCAGTGTTCTGCCGTCTTGCCTTGCAAGCAAGCACAGGGTCCGAGTTTGATCCCTGGTAGGCACACTGAGGCTGAAGCAGGAGATCAAACTTTTGATGTCGGCCTGAACAACTTAATGAGACCCAGTCGCATAATAAAAAGAGCTCGCTCAGTGCTGGAGTGCTTGCCTAGCATGTATGAGGCCCTTGATTCGATCCCTGTACATATGGAAAAAAACACACACAGTTTTTAATACTGCTTACTGCTTGAGGAAAAAAGTGTTATGAGGTTGAGGTCAGGAGGATCTTGAATTTGAGATAAGACAAGATAATGAGATCTGGTCTCAAAAAATATTAAATACAAAGACTTGAAAAGAGAATAAAAATAATTTAAGGGAGGCAGATATGAAAAGGAACCAAACGGAACATGTAGAAGAAATGCAGACTGTGACTGTTTATATTATCCAGTGGGTATTGTAGGCCAGATACTGAACAAATGAGGACAAAGCCCTGTCCTGAGGGGCTGCGCTGTATCATGTGTGTGGAGGGGATCTTTGCATTGAGCCTCATTGCTAAGTTGCTAAATTGCTCAGGCTGGGCTCCAACTTGTGGTCCTTCTACCTCAGCTGGAATTATAGGCATTGTATCTCCATGCCAGGCAGGGCTTACATTTTAGTGGGTGGGAAACAGACCAACAAATAAAAACCCCAGGTGGTGGTGATTACCATGATGAAGTAAGTGTAGCATGTCTGGTATCTGGACTGAGATCACTGAGAAGAGCAGGACTGCCAGTTGTAGTGTCTGCTTGTGGCCTCCCTGGGGCTTTGCTTCCTCCACAGCGTGGCAGCCTCAGAATAGTCATACTTAATCTAAACTTGAATGTACCCAAAAAGCATTGCTTTTTATGACTCTGGGAGAAATCACACAGCATCATTTCTTTACTCCACCAGTTAAGAAAGTCACAAACCCATTCGGATGTGAGGAAGGAGGACACAGACCACATGTCCTTTTTTTTTTTTTGCAGCACTAGGGACTGAACCCAGGCTCTTCCATATGCTAGATAAGCATTCTACTGCTAAGCCACATCCATATCCCTTTAAAAATTTTATGGTTTCAATTGCCAGGCTGGCCTCCAACTTGCTATCCTTGTGCTTCAGCCTCCCAAGAAGCTGAGATTACAGGTGTGTGCCATCATGTCTGGCAACCCCATGTCTTGATAAGAGTTTCAAAATATTTGAGGGAACAGTGATTTTAAACTGCTGTTTATATCATTAAAGCATTTTAAGTATGGAAGCATTTTAAAACGATTGCTGTAGTTTCTCTGTGGAACATAGACTGAAGGAAGTCAAAAGTAGAAGCAGTTAAGGGGGCTGGGGATTTGGCTTAGTGGTTCCATTACCTGCCTCGCAAGCACAAAGGCCAGAGTTGGATCACAGTAGAAGCAGTTAAAACTTATTGCAAGTGAGACAGAGTGGTGCACTGAGCCTTGCAGTTGAAGACTATCCTCTGGAACGTAGCAAGACACCATCTGAAACAGAAACAAAAAGTATTTCATTAATACTGGCAGGATATGGTAGATTGACCCAATTTAGTAATATGAAAATATTGTCAGGGAATCAAGTTTAAAATATATTTGAAGGACTGGGGATTTAGCTCAGTGGTTCTGCTGCCTGCCTTACAAGTGCAAGGACCCAAGTTTGATGCCCGGTACTGGGGGCGTGGGGAGGAAAAAAAAAAAAGAAAATATATATATGTGTGTGTGTGTGTGTGTGTGTGTGTGTGTGTGTGTGTGTGTGTGTGTACACACACACACACACACACATATATATTTGGAGCCAGGCATAGTGGCACATGCCTGTAGTCCCAGCACTTGGGAACTGAGACAGGATTGATGGGAGTTTGAGGCCAGCCTAGGCCACATAATGAGCTCAAGGTCATCCTGATAGCAAGACACTGTCTAAAAAAAAAAAAAATTAAAATATTATATATTTGAAGGTAGTGCTCATAGAGTTTACAAATGGAATGCATGTAAGGCATGAGAAAAAGGAACCAAGAATAAGTCTGAAGTGTTTGGTTTGAGCAACTGATTGAATGGTGTTGAACGGTGATGGTGTTTATTGAGATGGTAAACAAGGGGAAGAGAAGATTTTATCAAGATTTTAGGAATCTCATTTTGGACATAACATTGTAAAAGGTCTATTGCCCACTGTGGTATTCTGATACAGCAGTGCAAAATGAAGACAACATCCATGTGGAGATGTCAGTTAAGGCGGTTAAATACATAGTTTTAGATGAGAGGTGGGAATATAAATTCAGGGAATGAACATATAGATGGTATTTAAGCATGGGAGCACTCTGCTTCCACTCTCCTTCTAGAAGATAGGAAGAAAAATAAAAACTAGAGAAGACGACTGAGAATAAATGGCTGTGAATGCAGGAGGAGAACCAGATACGAAGTCCTGTACGCCAGCTAAAGAAAGTAGTTCAAGGGAGAAGGGAACCTGGCAGGCATATAGTGCAGTGATAGAGTTGCCTAGTATTTGTAAAGCACTGTGAAAAGAAAAGAAAGGTATATTAATTTAGTTAAATGCTTGTGAAAGTTCGGGTAGGATGAAGACTGATAAATAGGAAGGAAATCGGGACTGAATTGTTTCGAAAGATAGTCTCAGCACTTGGGAAGCTGAGGTAGGAGGATCGCAAGTTTGAGGCCATCCTGGGTTACATAGTGAGACCCTATCTGAAAAAAGAGTGGTGGTGGGGACCAAGTATAGATAACTCTTTTCAGGGATTTAGCTGTATAAAGGTACAGGGAAATAGAGCAGTATCTGGTGTAGAACAAGAGATTATGGGATTTTTTTTTTTTTTTGGTACCGGGGATCAAACTCAGAGGCAGGTGGTGGAACCACTGAGCTAAATCCCCAGCTCTGGGAATAATTTTTAAGGTGAGAAATATTAACACTGAGCTGGTATAGTAATGAGATGATTCTTACTTAGCACTTAATGAATAATGAAACCTCCTGGGGAGTTCTAATTAGAAGTTGGATACACAAATCTTATAGAAGAATTACATAGTTGAATCACAGTCTTTGCAAGTGGGATCCAGGGTGTCAGTATTTTCTTTTCAGTTCCTTAGATGATTCTGTACTGCATCTAGAGTTGATCTGCTCTGCAATAGATCAGCAGAATTTAAAACTCAGCATATGTGTTAAAGGTACAGTAAGAGACATTACTCTTACTCAGAATACTCCCCCTCACTTTAAAAACAGCCCATATGCTCGCCACATTCTAAAGCAGTTCTGGAAGTCTTCTTTCATGAATGTCTTTAGTTGTGATGTTGTGGCTGTGTCAGTGTCCTGAGTGGAGTGAAAATATTTACCTTTCATGATCATTTTGACTTTATGAGTGGTGATCCTCCTGTCTCAGCCTCCGAAGTGCTGGGATTAAAGGTGTGTGCCACCACACCTGGCATTAAATGAAATTTTGATTTAAGATATTTTCAACCTATAATAGAATTAGCAGAATGTGTACCCGTTATACGATGAGGAACATCTTTGGAGGAAGGCAGAGAAAATGAGTTCATGTAAATGTCCAAATACTTACTGTAATTATAAGCACATCTGTCTCATTGGAATGAAGTTTTCAAAAAAAATCTTCATTCCTAGAGTTTAGAGTTTAACCCCAAGCTTGACACATAGAGTATGCTTTGTTTATGGGATTCTTGGAGGCTGACAGATGTGTAAATGTGTGGAAACACAGCCCTGCTCCTGCGATATCCAGCTTCAAGCAGAGAGGCACACTGTGGTAGACCCTTGAGGTGTGATAGACTGAGTTGCAACCCAGGTTCCCTACCTAAGCTTTGTGGCCTTGGGTACTTTGCTCTGACACTTTTTCCCACCTGGAAGTAGGGCTGATACCACCCACTTAAGTAACTTGTTGAAAAGATTTAAGTAACAACACCATATAAACTGCCATGGCAGCATTCTTTTTCTTTTAAGTAAGTACCAATTGTACAGTATTTAAGAAATATTGTAGCTGGGTGTGGTGGTGCCTGCCTGTAATCACAGTGCTTGGGAGGTTGAGGCAGCAGAGTCCCTAAGACTTCAAGGCCAGTCTGGACCACATAATGAGACCTTATCTCAAACAAAAAGACTGAAAAATTGTAGTCACTGTTATTAGCACAGAAGAAATGCAGATGGTTTATGAATCAAAAGGCAACATGCATCATTCATTTTATAAAAGTTTGTTTTGCTTTTTTTTTTCTTAAACAATTGGAATTTATCTTCTCACAGTTATGTAGCTAAAAGTC